CAAACCATGAGCCAAGGCTGGCTGTTGCTAGTTCTAGGCTTGGGGCTCTTCAGCCAGAGGTACAGGACACACTGAAGCCAGATGTTCTTGTTTGCGTTTTGTGAACCTTAGGAAAGTCCATAGCTAAGCAAAGAAAAGCTGTTTATGCAGAAAAGCCACTGCAAGCGACTTTGGTGTTTCCAAAAGTAGGGTGGGGCGGGGAATCAGGGCTATTGAATGGTGTTAGCCAGGTTGATAGAGACTCAGATATGGCGGCCATCTGTGTTTTCACACTGGGGTGGGAGGGGGAGGGCTCAACAAAGAAACAATGGCTTCCACCAGCTCCTCTGTCCAGGAGAAAGCTGCCCCTCCATCCCTTGCCCTGGTGCCAATTAACCCAGTTCATCCTTTTATGTCCTTGGCGCCTTTCCAGCTGCTTCCCCAGCTCTGGAGTTCAGAGCCAGTGAGTCCATCAGTAAGTCTGTGCGTGTGCCCTTTAAGAGGAGCTCCTGGGACTTCAGCTGCCCTCTGTCTCACTCAGCCACAATCTTCACTGGTTTTCACAGCCAGGAGTTGTAGAGATTTCTCTCCCTGGCACTGAAACCCTATGCTAGGGAGCCTAGCGTAGGACTGGGACCCCTCACTCTTGGGTGGGGTGGGGGGACCTCCACAGCCAAGATAATCCTCCTGATTTTTATGGTCACACATGGGTCTGGGACCAGCTTGTTCCACGTCTCCATCCCTCCTCCCCGTCTCCAGGTAGCTTCTTCTGTACGTTCCCATCACTATTAATGTACTGAATCTGATATGTTGGGTTAGTCATCATTTTTCTTTAAGTATTCATGTTTATAGAATAAGGAAGGAACCTATGATTTACCAAACTCATTCACAGAAATTTACTGGACTGCCCTTTCTTTATCCTTGTCACTTCATTCCATCTCCACATTATAGCCAGAGCTATCTTTCTAAAGTGTAGAGATTATCATAGCACTTCCTTGCTTAAAACTCTTCAATGATTCCCTACTGTTTTAAAAGTAAGCTCATACTCCTTAATCTGTCTAATGAGGCCCTTCATGATCTGGACTCTGCTTGTTTTCTATTATGGGTTGAGTTGTATCCCCCACCAAATTCATATGTTAAAGTCCTAATCCTCAGTACCTCATAATGTTACCTCATTTGGAGATAGGGTCTTTACAGAGGTAATCAAGTTAAAATGAGCTCATTAGGGTAAGCCTTAATCAAATATAGCTGGTGTCCTTATAAAAAGGAGAAATTTAGACACAAAGACATATGTATACATAGGGAAGAGAATATAAAGAAACAGGGAGAATGCCATGTGAACATGAAGATGACCATCTACAAGCCAAGAAGAAAGGCATGGAACAGATCCTTCCCTCACAGCCCTCAGAAGCAACCAATTCTGCTGACACCTTGACTTTATTGTTTTTATTTTTATTTATTTATTTTTTAAGCTGAGCCATCCTGCTACCTGTTGGCAGCTCAGTGGCAGCTCAGCTCAGGCCGGGAATCAAACCGCCGTTGCTCAGAGCTCAAACTCTTAAGTGAGCTCTTAACCAACTGAGCCACTCGGCCGGCCCTGCTGACACCTTGACTTTAGACTTCTAGCCTAAGTCAATACATTTCCATTATTTAAGCCATCAGCTTGTGGTACTTTGTTATAGTAGCCCTAGCAAACTAATATAGCTCCAACTTTTTCTCTTACCCTTCCCACATCTCCACTCTCAATGTTCTCTACCCTGTTGCTCTAATCTCTAGTCTTCCTGAACTTCTTACATTCCCCTGAACATGGTAAATTTTTGTTTCTCTCCAGGCCTTTACACAGGCTATTCCCTCTGCTTAGAATGCTCTTTTCCTCAGCCTTTGCCTGGCTAACTCTTATGTCATTGGAATCTTGATTAGTGGTCTCCTCTGGAAAGTCCTTCTTGACCATCCTCCCTACCCATGATTTTATTCAATGCCCTTCCTATAGCACATGGTATGCACTTACTCCCATGATCAGACTATGTTGTCATTCCTTGCTGTTTGTCTCCTTCACTAGACCACACGCTTGAAAGCAGGGTTTGTAAAGCAGAAATCTACTGCTTGTGTCTTTTCAGCATCCATGCCCCTTTTTGGTAATAGCATCCAAATTTCCCTTAGAAAAATCTCACCTACTGTCATTCCATGAGCTTCAAATGATCCCACTCCCTGACTCAGGGCTGAACAGGGGACCCAGGCCCTGTGAATACATTTGTACTTCATTCTCATGGCAACAGGGATGGTCATGACTGCCCCCAACCACTGAGAGTTAGCTGTGAGATTTCTGATCGGACTCAAGAATGGCAAACTCTCCTTTTGCAGGAATTGCTTATCTGGCAGGGCACACCTGGGGCTGCTGGACACCTGTGACCTTCTTGGCTTCTACATGGGGAGAGCTCATCAGAAAATAAGGCCAAAGCAGAGAAGCCAGAGCCATTGCGTGGAACAAGATCAATTCTAGTCTAAACTAGGGCTCGAGACACCCATTCCAGATCTCTTTTCACAATATGATGTGTTTTATATAATCGTGGATGAGAAAATGACAGGAATATATTTAGGAGAGAATAGTAGATAAAAACTAGGTCTTACTTTGGAAGCCTGTACTTATCTTATAGGTCATTTTGAAACCCAATTCTATATGATTCAGTTCACTTAGTTGCTAAACTGATGAAAACACTGGGTTAGCTAAGTTGTGTATGTGCATGTATTTTAATAGGCAGATATGTAGCTTGAGAGTCTGTATTTTTGTTTGTATGTTTGTTTTGTTTTGCACCAAGGGAACAGAATGACCAGTAGAAGTACAGGCGAGATATACAGAGTTAAATTAAAGATCAGGGGCTTTGGAAATAAGCAAAGTTTGACTACAGGCTCTGCCATTTTTTAGGTGTGTAACGTTAAGCTTCTCTGAACCTCAGTTTCTTCACATTTAAAATAGGGAAAATAATAGTACCACTTCATGGTTTCATTGTGTGGATAAAATGAAATAACACATTTAACGGGCATAGCACAGTGCCTGGCACATGATATAGTCAATGAAAACTGCTTACATCACTTTTTAAAATAAACATTTTATTTAAAAATATATATGTATATTTTTTTAAAAAAAAGAACACATGCCAACTTTGGTATTTTAGCCATTGCTTCTTTTCTCTTTCTGGTAACCCACATTTCTTTCTGGTTATGTATAGTTGAGCAAAGGAGACCAACATGAAAACAACACCACACAGGGTCCCCACAGAGAATGTATGCTTGGTCTTTGATTTCTTTACAAAGCACCTCGTTGTGTTTCAGCAAGAGAGGGTTCCAAGCACCCAGCAAGGCATTGCCCTCTTTTCTCACTGTAGGCACACTGGCGAGGAACTCTGGGGAGCAGTGTGGGTTCCCTTCCTTTGGAAAACATTCAATAGCATGCAGGATCCTCGTTGTTTTATTCCCTTTTCCCATAATCACTCAGGAGCTGTTCAACCATTTATAGGAAACTCATGTTACTAGCAGGTGGTTAAAATAAGCACAAGAGACATTCAGGAGTTTGTGTTAATCCCTAGGGGAAACGGCCAAATCCTAGAATCAGAAGGAACTTACTCATATATAACCCAATGAATCCTAGTACGATTTCCCTGGCAGATGATAGCATAGTTCTTCCCAGACTGCTTCCTGTCTGAACATCATCTCTTCATGCATAGTCTCAACCTGGCTGGGGTCCTCTGAAAATGTAAATTCTCGAATCAAACCCAGCTCCTTAACACAATCTTAGCAGCGCTCAGAACTACAGGATCATCTTGTTGCAGGACTTGGACTCTGAGTGTCTATTAATATCATCCGTCTAATAAAGAACTAGCAATTTCAGCATCCAAACCACCCTGCTGGTTTACACTGGATTTATAGGAAAACAAACACCCCAGTCTCTTTTCACTCCAAGTTCTCGCATATCTGATAGCAAACTGTGCCAGCTTTTGTGGGCTTCCCACTGTGAGGAACTCAGCGAAAGCCCAAGGGGGAAGCCAAGCTGCTTTCACACTCTGCAGCGTTTCTGCTAAGGGATGGAGGCTCACCTCGGAAACCCCTCCCCCTCCAGGAAGAGTTCCTTTTGTCTAGAGAGCTTGTTATGAGGATTGAGGATAGGGGATGGGGGGGAAATGTTTCCTTCTCCTTTCCCTGATTTTCAAAGGGCTTCTGCATCTGGCAATGAAAACAAACCCTAAAACTCTCACAAATGCTTTAAGTGGTGGGAGATATTGAGAGATCGCCAAAAGACATACTGCTGCTGTTTGATCATGGAGAAAGAGACAAGAAAAGAATGTTAGTGTGGGTGATTGCTTTTCACTAAAAAGGAGCCCTCCACTCTCCCTTCTGGAAGAATGAAGACCCTTTTTAAATCATAGCTAAAGGGTTTCTGGATTGAGGACTGGGAGATTCCCAGTGTTCTTGCAACTGCAACCCCCTAGTCACTCAACATCTGAACCATCTTTACTGAGTCAATTTGGTATTGGATACATGAGGACTTGTGTGATTTACACAGGTTGACGTCAAGTAATTATCCATTGGATGAGTAAATTCGATGCAGGAGTTTTCAGCTAGACAAAGATCTGTTTCTAGGAGAGCTGCTAGAGTTTAAATAATTTTTGCAAAACACTGTCTCAATGCTTGGGATAGTTTTCTATTGTTTCTTTTTTTACAGATTGGAAATAAATGTTTTGAATAACAAAGGCCTCCAGTTCCCAGACCCTTGACTATTCAGATGGAGACTCTTGGTTTCTTCATTTACTGGTACAGTCATTACATTGTTAAGAATGGCTTCTCATCTAAAAATTTGCGATTCACTTTTCATTATTCAATGTTTTAGCTGAACTGAGAGGCTCACAGATCAGGAAATTGGGACCTTCCTTCCTTCCTTCCTTCCTTCCTTCCTTCCTTCCTTCCTTCCTTCTGTTCTCCCTTCCTTCTTTCCCTTCCTTCCTTCCTTCCTTCCTTCCTTCCTTCCTTCCTTCCTTCCTTCCTTCCTNTTCCTTCCTTCCTTCCTTCCTTCCTTCTTTTCTTTCCCCTCCCTCTCTCTCCCTTATAACAGAATGTGTGTCGTATCAATAACACTGTTAGAAGTAGGACTACTACTAATGAACACTCACTTAATGAAAGCCTTTGCATAAGTGAATTTTCTGACTCAGTTGGGTAAGTATGAACCTAGGGGACTGCAGCAGCATTCAAAATGGCTGCAAATGTCTGCAGATCTGCATCACCATAGGGGTTCCAGGAGCATTAAGTAAACCACATGTGGTATTTTTGGGCTTGAAGAGCATTAAGAAACATGAATGTGGCCATCTTTATAAGTCTCTGTACATGTTTTAGGCCAAATTTGTTGCCAGAATAGAGGATATAACTAAGAGTTTAAAAGAAATTAAAATAAAAATCCCCAATAGGAGACAGATGAATTAACATGGATTATCTGATCCACCGGGAAAAGCCAACTTCATCAGTTTTCTCCCAATTATCCCCAGTTTTCTCCCGCAAATCTCACATCTGAGCTATAAAGAGACAGAACGAATATGCTGTAGGAGGAGGCTGAGACCAGTAATCTAGGGGTCTGATCTGTGTTAATCGTGTTGGTTTACAGTAGCAAATAGGACCCATCTTTGGTCAACTGTGAAGCATGTACATCAGGACCAGGTAATTTCTAAAAAGATCCCAATGAAAATGCAGGAACTTACAAGCACAGAGGCCTCCTAACCAAGTCTAGTCCTTCAGATGGAAATATCCAAAGGAAAAAATAATTAACCCTCAGATCAGAGTCTCAGAGTAGGGACCCTATGAGTTTGTTTTCCAAAGGAAATAAGGTGTGAGTGTGTGGCGGGGTGGGATGGGGGCGGATAACATACAAATCGCACAACATGACACATGAAAAATGTACTGACCAGCAAGCTTTGTCAAGACCCAAACAGAACTTCAACATTTGAGGAATAAACAAATGTGAGGAATGTGTTAAAAGGGTTTCTTTCCCATAGCTTCATTTTCAAAGAAAAGACTGGTAATTTTGCCTGTCGATGTTTGGTTCTGTTGACTGACATAAAAGCAAAATGAAAAATTTACCATGTGGATCTTTTAAAGCACAATGCAGATCAAGGAATGTAAAACGAGCTTTATGTTCCTTTATGCTCTTCCATGAGAGACTGTATTACCATTTCCAGCTACTAATGGTGAAGCTGTTCTGTCTTTTCACATCCATATTCATTGTCAAGATGAGCTTGTTCATGGGAAGCAAGTGGCTGTGAGTCATCAGGCTGGAGCCATTAGTCATACACAGAGAGGCAATGTGTAGTCTGGTTGATTAATCAGAAACTCATAGTGAGAAAGGCCAAGTATCATTTCACAGCAGATTGAGGCTTAAAGGTTTTTGGTCTAGAACTCTGTAACACTGCTTTTCAAGATACACACACATATACACTCGTGTATGTATATATACATATGCATGTGTATATGTGTATATACATACATGCATACATATACATGTGTATATATCTATACACATATGCATAATATATATATCCCCCATTTCCTATAAGATCTGGCAGCTTTCAGAGTAGCAGTCACCAAAAACACTGTTCACACAAGTTTACAAGTTAACAATGGAATGACTTCTAAATCTTTGGTTTATCAAAAAGAGAACTTCTAAAATCACAACATTTTTGATTATTTTCTCCATAAGTGCACAGTGAACAACAATTTTTTACAAAAGAAGAAAACAGTGTCTCAGTGATTTAAATTAAAAAAACACACAACAGCAATAGCTACTTTCTACAGCATGCAACACTATAAAAACAGTGAGTTAGAGCCACAATGAGCTTTAGAGAGACTGTCCTGACATTTGAGTTTTTCAACTCTCAGCGAAAGCGTTAGAGGTAATGAGGAATGCACATGAGACAATTGTCTTTTTTCCTTCCATCATTTTCAATGTAATTATATATTTTTTCAGAAACCCATACCTAAAATACTCTCTCCTTGTAAATATATTTCATATTCATCTTTACAATATAATGATTTCCAATTTCCCCAGACCAACTCAAATCAATGATTGCTGTAAATCAAATAAGGATAAGAATGAACTTTGGGACTGATGGGCCAAGTCACCAGTTCCTTCCTAAGGACATTCTTTCACTTGCTTTTGTAGCAAATTATTCATATGAAGAATGAGTTCTCCAGGAGAACCTGGATTTTTAGTTTTTTAAAATATGGCTTTATTAGGAGTATGTCAGCTTGTTAGAGCTGAGAAATCTTCTCCCAATGTTGGGACAGAAAAAGAAAGATCTTCAAAACAGGAGCAAGAAAGGATTGGTACCTTGAAAGAAGAGTGGCAGAAAGATAAACTGAGGTGGACCCCCACAACACATACCCTAAAAAAGAAGTTGGATCTCCACAAATAGTCCTGTTATAGTAACCTATGGTATTTATCCCTATGATATGTGAAACAATGTTCTCTAGCTCTGTCTGAATTATCCCTGATATAACTTCCCGAAGCTAGAGAGATTCTTCTGATCTGCTTAAGTGGTCATCACTCGTCTCTGGAACTAAAGGGGGTTGTGTTGGAGAACCTTCCATCTCAGGAGGTTCTCACCTGTTTCACAATGCTTGTCACCAGAGACAGTGGGAGTGGTTTGGCTAATGGTTGAGAAACAGGGAGGTTCTGGGTGGGGTTCTCTGGACCAAATGCAGGTCAGTTTTTATCAGTGACCACAGAGTCATGGGTCCAGGAGTGAAAACCACACCAATGGGGCAGCTTTGTGGCCGAGGGACGCTGAGTTGATTTTGCTTCCCTGGGAGTAGATTGGTTCTGTCCCTCTATTCTGCCTCAAGAACTCCCTAACTGAAACTGGGCCTGACTTGTAGTTTAAAAGACAGGTAGTGGAGAGATGAGAATCACCTCTATCACAGGTATGCCCCCCATAACCTGTGATAGACTGGCTTCCCTGTACTCCCCAAAGGGTTTACATTTTCTTTCCACAGTATACCAAATAAATTCATGAGAAAAACTTACAGATGAGTTTATACCCCAACAATACCTAAAAAATGTATGGGCTAGAAAAAATACTGGTGTTTGAAAAGGCAGTGAAATAATTTTTTTTTTGGCATTCTTGATCTGAGAAAGCACATTTTTAAATGCATTGCTGAAGTCAGTAACAGTCATTGAATGTTGGTAAATATTACATTTTATATGTATAAAACAAGACTCCTATTTGATCTTGATGATTGTCATCGGAGTCTCCATTGCTTCTTTTTAATCTCTTCCTCCTCCTCCTCCTCTTTCTTTTGGGTAACACATGTATTTATGGCTGTGTGCTTTCCCCCACGGAACTCCTATTGGTCTTCCTTAGCATTTTTGCATTCTACCACTGCTGTAAGTGAAGGTCCATGGGGGAATTCAAATTGAGATCCGTGACATCGAGGAAATCAATGTTGAAGATGCTGGGGCCGCTGGTGGTAAGGGAGCTAAAGCTTGGTGTGGAGCTTGGTGGAGTGAGGTCCAGCCACTCCATGGTTTCCCAGGGAGATTCAGTGAAGCTTAACTGCAGCCCATTGCTGTCCACAGAAGAAGGTGAAAACTGAGTGTGCATCGGGGAGAGAGGACCTGGCAAGATCTCATGCGCATTGAAGAGGTCTTCTGCAGCCTTCCCAGAGAACCCATCCATTATCCCATCGAAAGAAGGCTCCTCGTTCCCAATTTTTAGAAGGGCAACATCGCTCACCTTTCCTAAGGGGCTCTGAGAATTTAATAAGACTTCAAGGTGCTCATCGCTGTCTGTGCCGTAGTGGTTGAAGGAGAGCTGGCCTCCTGAAGATGCTTGTTCAAAGGAAGCTGAGGGCTTGGGGAGGGCAGCAGTAGGGCTGCGGGAAGACCTGGGCATCTTTGGGACTTTTTGAAGGCATGAATGATCCTCCCTGGCGTCAGCGGGCATTTCTGTTGGTACAACACAATGGGAATTGTTACATCACTTCAAATAGAGCATGCCTCACAATACGAATCTTTGAAATGAATGAGTCACACTGACATAGAGCAGATGGCTATGCTTCTCTGGTCATTGCTCATCACCTTGTCTCACCCCTAGACTGTCGTATATAGCCCCAGTTCTTCTTCTCTCTGGTCTCTCCCCAAATCCTTTCTTCCTGGAAGTTCCAGTGTGTGTTCAAACTCTCAGAGCACATTCCTTTACCTGCTCCTTCACTGACACCTGGCTGTCCCCTGAGGACACTGCATCCTCCGCTATACCCTCAGTGGGGGCTCATTTATTTCAGAGCCAGAAGAGTCTTCCTAGGTGCCCTCCGGCTGCTACTTTCTGATTGTTACTTCCCCACCTTCTTATAACTCCTCAGTGGTTTTGAGGGTCATGCTGCTCTCTCTCTGCCACCCCACGCCAGCCTTCTGGTCACTCCTCCTCATCCACTGAAAACTCTGTTGCTCAGTTCATTGCCTTGTCCCCATTTCAACTCTTGTCATTCTATGTGATTTCAGCATCCTCAGAAGAGACCCATTGTCCAGCTGGCCTCTCAGTTCCTTGATGCCCCCATCACCCTCAACTCCAGTGATTCCTCCATTATCACTCTGTTGGACACACCCTGGACCTTGTCATACCCAAATACTGTATCCCTCTGAAAGTTCAATTTCACCCAAAATTTCAACTCAGTCCATCCCCTCTCATTCCTCCAGCTTTTCCTGACAACAAAGATTGCTCAGCACCTCATAGTCACTCTGATCTACTGACTGTACTATTTTGTCACCATCCATCAGCCCCTTCTGGTTTTCATTTCTTTCCTTGTCCAGCCTATATTCTCTGGTCCACCATTATAATTACTCGCTTATAAATACCTTCTCTGCTCTTTACTCCTTCCACTGTTCTCCCCTGGCAAAACTCCACACCTGTGTGAATCTTATCATCTGTTTTCTCTGAGCCTGCCCTGGATCAGCTGGGTGTTGTAAGAGAAAAATTATACAACAGAGCTGACTGGTTTCACTTTAAATTCATGATGTCTGGCCTACAACTGGCACTAAATACTGCCTAGCAATCCCACTGTGTTTCTCCAGAAAACTCAATTTATTCATGATTGATTTGTAATGTCTCTTCTTCCCTCTAATCTCCCATGCTCCCTCCTGGACACTCACTCTTTGCTGACCTGCCACATACTTCCTTAAAAATACAAGGCTGTCTGAGATGAACCTTCTCATCTTTCCATCATAAATTTATAACATTTTGTCCCTGTCTTTTCCTTCTTTCCTCCTGTTACAATGGAGGAATTGCCTGTTCCCTTGCTTGTTGTCCATCTCCCTTACCAGACTGCAGACTCCACAAACGTGGGGACTTGGTCCACAGCAGCATAGAGCCTACTGCCTGGACACTCCTTCTCTGAACTTTAAATGTTGTTATTTAAGGGCTCACACATGAGGAATTTTTTCTTTCTATCTACATGTTCTCCTTACATGATTTTATTCATTTGTGTGGTTTCAAATTCTAGGTAGATACTATGTCATTTTTTAAAATAAATAAATGGGCGACTTAAAAGGAGGCAAAAAGAATATGCTGATCACTTTTTATTGCTAGCTTGAATGACATTTAAGCATGAATGGACCATCCAGTGGGAGATTACTAATTGAATTTCATTTTGAATAGGTAGCACAAAACTTGCTTGATCTGCTTTATTCTTCTTCTTATAATTAAGAAGATAGGGACATTGGGATTAGAACATTACAGAGAAATAGCACGGCAAGAGAAAACAGGGAAACAGGGACTGAGTTGAAACTTGAAAACTGTTTAAATGATTGGTGAAAATGTTCCCAGGACAAAGAGACAAAGGCAATGAGGAATCATCCACTAAAGCCTTCCTTTATCTGCTCCAAATGTGGACAGGAAGCTCAGATGAAATGACCACTCTACCCATAGACTTTTTGGTCCAATTTACAGTGAGCATCTGACCTTAGTCCCCAGGGTGTGCTCCCTAGAGGACAGGCAGGTGCAGAGCATCCTGATGGGCAAGACACGAGGCAGTCTTACCTCCGCTTTCAATGAGGACATCCAGAAGTTCGTCCATCTGTTGACTCCGAGTCATTTGCTATTGCAAATTAACCAAAGGAGGACAGAGATGTTAGAAGGTAGCTACCTCTTAGGTAGGAAATTATTAGAAGCAGCACGACAGGTTTTTGAATTAGGTTTGTTCATTATTCTTTTAATTGTGGTAAAATACACACAACATAAAATTGACCATCTTAACTATTTTAGCATGTACAGTTCAGGGGCATTAAGTACATTCACGTTGTTGTGCCACCGTCATCACCATCCACTTCTGGAAATCTTTTCATCTTGTAAAAGTGAAACTCTGTACACCATTCCCTTCTCCTCCCAGCCCCTGGCAACGACCATTCTACTTTCTGTCCCTATGAATTTGACTTCTCTAGGTACCTCAAATAAGTGGATCCTTATAGTATTTTTCCTTTGGTGACTAGCTTTCACTCAGCATAATGTCATCAAGGTTCATCCATGTTGTAGCATGTGTCAGAATTGCCATCCTTGTTAAGGCTGAATAATGTTCCATTGTATGTATGTACGACATGTTGTGTATCCACTCATCTGCTCATGGACACTTGAGTTGTTTCCACCTTTTAGCTATTGTGAATAATGCTGCTATGGACCTGGGTGTAACCGGCTAAAGGTTTTGGGCCTTTTTTCCCACTTTGAAGTGACTTGGATCTGCCTCCTGTTTGGGTGCTGTGGATGTGACCCAGCAATGTGACTCATATTTCTCTAGATCCTCATGGCAATAGTTTGTGCAAACTGTCCTCACTTGTAGGGAAAACACCCCTCCCTCTATTTGAGTTAAATAGACTCTTATTTATGGAAGTCCACTTTGGTTGGCCTTTTTCTTTTATTTTGAAATCATGAAAGATCAGTTCATGTTTATAGACACCACAGAAAGGAAATGCAGAAAACTAGAACATATCCATCACACTCCTCTGAGAGCCCAGGCCCAATAAACACAGGACCAATAATCAACACGGGGGGTGACCGGTTAGCTCAGTTGGTTAGAGCATGGTGCTGATAACACCAAGGTTGCTGGTTCAATCCCCGCATAGGGCCACTGTGAGCTGTGCCCTCCTTGAAATCATCATCATCATCATCATCATCATCATCATCATCATCATCAATACGGATGGGAACACTGCTCAAAGAATGAGTCATGTGCCTGTCCAGGAGGCATTAGATGCCCACAGAGTCTGGTAGGTAACGTAAATGAGCCAAACATAGAACAAGAGAGTGGGGTAGAATGTAGAACATATGCTGTGGTTCCAGGAGGCAGTGGGTATTTTGTTTCAGATGACTGGCAGAAATATGGCTTCAGTGTTACCAGATCCCCTAATTTTTCAGAAATGAGAGAGGCTACTTATTTGTATAAAATCTCCTAATATTTAAAACACTCTGTAAGTCAAGTGAAACCTCGCTGCATGCAGGCTGATTTGGAACTGTGGGGCACCAGTATGCAGTAACTGGTATAGGTCTTCTTTGCTGGGTTGAGCACATATGAAGGGCTAGCTGATACCTTACTCAAACTCAAGCCATTTGGTATAGAAGATCATTGATTGCTTTTCTTTGTTTACTCTTTATTTTTAAAATTTCCAAACCTAAATGAAAGTAGAGGACACAAGGAACCTCCATTATTAGTCAGCTAAACAGCCATCAATATTTTGCCAGGACACTGAATTTTGAAGGTAGGAAGGACCTTAGAAAGTGTCACCCTGACAATTGTGCTCATATATTTGAGGACCTCTCTTGGGCCTGGACAATGTGGTAAGTGCTACATTATTTAGAATCCTTACAAAGTAGATACCAGCCCTATTTCATATAAGAGAAGTTGAGCACTTGCCCAGCCTTAGTGGCAGTGGCAACTGGCTGGTGGCCAAGCTGGCACTAAGTCCAGGCCCTGGGTGCCCAGACCAAGCTCTTCTCTGTCTTGGCCTCACACGGCTTCTATACACACACGACACATTTCTACAGTTTGCATCTAGACATAATGTCCATTCTGGTGGGGAGGCACCAGACATACTCAATACCAGAACCTACATACGCGAAGTAAAACAATGTCAGTTTTAGCCAGTCTTTTTTTTTTTTTTTATAAAGAACAAATTAGGCCGTTACCTGCTTTACCGCATCTTCATATGATGGAGGCTGTGTTATCTCTGGAACTGCTGAAGTTGACTTAGAAAAAGTGGGGGACGGAATTGAAAACTTTGGCCCTGCCTTATCAGAAGAGTGTAAACCAGGCATCTGTGTGAGTAAAATGCAAAAAAGACAATCAATTCCTGGGTCAGAATTGGCACTGCTTCTGTTTTAGAAACCACAGACGACATTTTGGAAAAATTGATTTAAGAAAAAAATGAAAAGAGCTAGAGCTTAGAAAACAAATCCAATATATTAACAACAGTACATGTCACCCCAGACTTATTGCTGGAGGCATCTTAAGATGGGAACCTCACAGATTCATTTCCCCTCTAATGTGCACACTCTTCTGTTAGAAGAAATCAAGGTGAGAAAAGGAAATCGAGTAAAAGAGTCCAGCCCAATACAAAGAAGTCCATCAACCCAGGAATTTCCAGAGTAATTTATCCCCCAGGCTGTTTCATTCCTAACGGGGTATGTATTGCGGAGATTTAGAGGCACAATTGGGGGATCTCTTCAAGAACCAGCTTTGTGTGTTGTGTGTGTTCTGACAAGTGCCTGGGCCATTTCGGGGTCTCTGTACCCAAAGGATGCCCTGTGGTATGTAGCACTTTTGTGTCATGGCCATCTTGCGTTTGCTCCTTCTTATCACCTCTTCTGGAACTCCCCATATCCTGGGGCCTTCACATCCCTGATTTTTCCACCTGCTGATATATATCATCTTTTCCCTTTTCTGCAGAGATATTGTACTATGACCTCAACTTTCCAGATCTCTCCCGTCCTTTCTACAGATCCATGTACCTCCCTCTTTCTCCAGCATTGTTTTTCCATGCTTCGCTATTCTAGCCTTTGACTTCACTGAAACTGGTTTGTTCGCAATGTTGTTTCACAAATATAGCATGGCTATTTTAGTCATCGTGCCTTCTGGGGTGACTCCAGGAAATGACTACTTGGGAGTAACTCCTAACTTATATCTGTACATCCATTTCAGGCCTTTTCAAGGGCTTTTGTTTCTATCTAAAATGTCATTTATTTCTGCCTTTGAACCTCATCATTTGGAGAACAGGGCCACAGAAGAAAGAATAGGCAAAGTCCATTCCAGGTTTAACCTATTTCCAGGTGCCTACCTTTTGCTGTACACCTGGGCTTTTAGGACAAGGGTTGCCCCCAGCACCATGACTGCTGTCTGCCTGGGCTCCAGAGAAAGCGGGGTGGAGGCTGGAAGTCTGGGGAGAGAAGCTTGGAGGATGGCCCTCGTGTGGCCCTGAGTTCTGTAGAAAGAAAGAAGCAACAAATTAAATGACCACTGGCGGCATACTTGAAAGTAGCTTTTGCTGAGACTACTGGTCCTGATATCTTATCTTTTTCATACCTCCCTAAATTTCATCACCGCAGTCCCAAATCTGGCATTGTATGTATCACCTACTTCCCCCAAACTCTCAGTGGCTCTCAAGTATCCACAACTTAGGGTCTCCACTTCTACCCAGGATAAGTGTTCAAGACTCCACAGTCAAATACTGTTTCCTTCTGCAAGTTTAAGTTCTACCAGTCTCTCTAGGAGCTTCTCTTTGCATGCCCTATACATTCTACCTCCCTTTTTTCACACGAATGCCCTTTTCCTGACTCTCCTTTTTTAACGCTATACTTCTTCTGAAGTCCAATTTCTTCCCCAAATCTTCCCAGACTAGTTCTTCATGATCAATCTGCCTCCCCCGCCCCCACCACAATGCTTGTGCAACATTTAATGTCATAAGCACGCATCAGTAGTTATCCTATATGGCTCTTTATCTTTTTATCATATAATCATTCATGGCTTCAAGGACTGCTTTGTAAACCTTAAATCACTGTACAAATGTTAGTTCTTCTTGAGTGTATTGATATTGTTAGAATTGAAGGTCTTATGGTCCAGAGCTGTTTCAAGAGCTGTTTTTACCTCTGTTGCCTAGGACACTCATGCACATTTATGGAGTCAATAAATGTTGCCAATGATGACGATAATGCATTTCAGCCCCAACTCCTCCCAAAGTGCCGACTCAGGGGTGGGCAACATTCATTTGCATGTGTTGTTTGGGCAGGTTTGTGAAAATGGATTCTCATTACCTATGGCCACACCTCATACTCCCAGGATAGAGAATATTCAGTGTGAAAAGGGCATGTACTAAAGAATCACATAATCAGGGGTTCGTGTGATCCTCGGCAACTGGCTTAGCATCCCTGAGCCTCGTTTTCCTCAGTGGCAAATAAAGAGTATTGAATTGGAGCTCAAAAGGTGTTGTGACAATTAACAAGTTTACTCATATTCATGTCTCTTAATACTCGACACATGGCAGGAAAGCAATTAATATGAGTTTCCTTCCTATTCCCTTTCTAATAATATGAATCTCAGGACCTTTGGATAACATAATTTTCTTTCCCAGATGTACTTAAATAGATGTTCCTAATAATTCTTTGGCTTCATACACAAAGTAAAGGCTTTGATGATCATCTTGGTCTAGTCTTTGAACTAGTTACTCTTCTGAGCCATCTCCTACAATGCTCCTCTCATTCTGTTCCAGCCACACTGGCTTTCTAGCCAATGCTTGAACATTCTATGCATGCTCCCACCTCAGGGCCCTTGCACTTTCTGTCCTTCATTTTCCTGAAATGCTTTCACTCCAAATATTCACAAGGCTTTACCCTTTACCTCTTTCAAAACTTTGCTCAAATGTTCCTGGCCCTTTTACTTAATGTAAGTCTGCAAACTTCTAAACTCCTCACCCCCATTCTCTGCTTTCTCTCCATAAGACGTATCATTTTCTAATACATTATGTTTTATAAAATTTTTTTAAAATTTATTTTCTGTCTTCCCATGAGAATAGGGATTTTTGTTTGGCTAGTTCAGCACTAGTTCCCAGAGACTAGTAAAAAGCGTGGCACACAATAGATGCCCAGTAAATATTTGCACTCTTAGCAGACCATCACATTGAGAGACCCGTAAGGTTTGGCAACTTCCCCTTTGGCTTTCTTGATAAATTGGTTTGGCCTATGGTAAGTCTTGATGCCAAGAACTCCTGAAAATAGGGGTTGGCAATCTATAGTCCTTTGAGTCAAATCCGGCCCATGGCCTGTTTTTGTAAATAAAGTTTTATTGGAACACAGCCACATACATTTATTTATAAGTTGTCTATGGCTGTTTTTGTGATATAGGGTAGAGCTGAGTAGTTGTGACAGAGACCACAATGCCCATAAAGCCAAAAATACAGAGGGTGCCAAAAAAATGTATACACATTTTAGGAAAGGAAAACTATTAAAATTGTAATAATATATACTGATAACAAAAGATGAATACAAGTCACGTTTGTCTTCTGCAATTACAAGAGGTGCTCAAAGTGGTTACCATCAGCGTTCAGACACTTCTGATTACGACGAACTACTGCTTGCGCGATGTTGACCAAAGTGGATGGATACATCTTTTTGGCAACCCCGGTATTTATTATCTAGCTTTCTACAGAACAAATGTGCCAATGCCTGTCTCAGAGAAGCAAGCTGGTCTACTGTGAAGGCCTGAGGATCTTGGTGTCTGGGAACTGTTGTTGGACTGTTGGTAGAGCCTTCCCATTGAAAGTTCCAGGGCCGGCCAAGTGGCTCAATTGGTTAAGAGTGCAAGCTCTGAGCAATATTGTTGCTGGTTCGATTCCCACATGGGCCAGTGAGTTGCGCCTGAGCTGAGCTGTGGCTGAGCTGCCAATGAGTGGCAGGATTGCTCAGCTGATGAGAGCATGCGCTCTTAGCAACAAGGTTTCCGGTTCGACTCCCCCATGGGATGGTAGGCTGTGCCCACCAGCAACTAAGATTGAACACGGCACCTTAAGCTGAGCAGCCATGAGCTGCTGACGGGCGGCTGGATGGCGACTGGACTTGGAGCTGAGCTAGCTGCGCCCTCCACTACTAAGATTGAAGGACAACAACTTGGCTGTTCCCCTTCCTCAATTCCCCAGTAACGTCTTAAAAAAGAAAGAAAGAAAAAAAGAAAGTTCCAATGTCAGCTCTGTAGCGGTTGCAAATCCATATCCCACTTCTAGGAAAAGGGGTGCACTGGGCATGGGGCAAGGAGTTCTTACCTGTGCAGTACACACCTGGCTGCTGACAGGTGAGGAGACCCTGTGCCCTTCTCCTTGAGCGCCTGAAGATGAAGGTAGGAAGTAATGATTGTTTGGTGATGGGGGCAAACTGATATGCTGTGGGCTTTTCACAGCCCCAAGTGGCGAATGCTGAGGGGAGCATTGAGGGCTGAGAAATGTGGAAGAAAGTACGTTGGTCTGACCTGAGGTCTCCGCGCAGTGAGTACTCCCAAGGGGCAGGAGTTGAGCAGCATCGCAAGCCTGTGGTTGGCCGTCTGAGTTGTTGCTTTGTCTTTTCACAGCTATTTGTTGGGATGCATAAGGACAGCTGGAGATGGCATCTTCCTTCTTGATGGGGGTGCCCAGGAAAGGCAGTGGCTTCTTCTCGGCACAGTTGTTCCTTTTCTGCTTCTGCAGCTGCATCCTCAGCTCCTCCACGTGCCTCTGTTCTTGCTGGAGTTTCCAGGTGAGCTCATTGATCACCTTCTGCTTCTCCACCAGCATCTTGTCCTTCTCGGAGTCCAGCCCGTCCAGCTCGGAAGGAATGGAGCCCCCGTTCAGACTGCTCATGAGGCTCTCCTCGGGGCAGACGTGAACCGGGGACGGGTGCAGGCCGAAGGATGGGGACGTGTCGTTGAAAGTGTCAGGCAGGGACCCGGCCATCGACAGGTCAGACGAGGCAGGTGAGATGGGGGGGCTGGAGCTGGTGCTACCGAAGTGGTAGAAGCCGTTGGATAAGGCACTGGTGGAAGGGGAGGACTGGTAATTGGGCAGCGCGTTGGTGGGCGTAACAGGAAAAGTGACCGTCGTTATCTCACCGAAGTTGGGCACAGGGTTCCCGGAACTGTCCTGGAAGGGCCGAAGCCTGTCCATGAGGGCGGTCTTGGTGCCTGACACCGGCAAGCCCCGTATTCGAAGCTGTTGTCTTAACTCAGAAACCTAAGGAAACCAGGGCGTTGTTAGTGGGATGTTTAATGACAATCTTTCAAAAAGAGTATTTAATATTACGTTAACTTTAAAACATCACAAATGGAATTTCACAATGCCCACTTCTCTTAATACTTCTTTTTGATTTCCTCCCCTGCACCCAATATAAATCTGCTTTGTACAATTTTAATAATGAAAAGAAAAATGGTCATGTACCATGTTTTCATATTTCCAGAATCGTGGAAATATACTAGAAATGTAGCGCTCAAATGAACCATAGAGGGTACCTAGTCTACTGCCGTCCAACCCCCATCCTGGTCCTTGTCTTCATTTTACAGATGAGAAAATGATACCTGTCTAGGTTTAGACAGCCCACAACCAGCCATCCTGAAGCAAGCTGACCCTCCGGTGTTCTGCCTCCCAGGTGAGTGCTCTTCCCACACGTCCTCTTAGTGGGTGGTTCTCAAACCGCAGCAGGCACCAGAAACACTGACGGTGGGATTCAGCATAGACGTCTGGGCCCCAGTCTGGAATTTCTGATTCAGTGTGTGTGGGATTGAGACTGAGAACGTGCATACATGACAAGTTCCCAAGTGATGCTGATACTGCTGGTCTTTGGACCAGTTTCTGAAAAACACAGCTCTACATTAACATTTATGTCCTAAATTTAACAACTGGATGGGTAATATCATATATTGAAAGATAGTATGTGTGGAGACAAGACCACTGGTTCAAATGCTAGCCCTGCCTCTTACTAGTTCAGTGATCACTCTGTGCCTCAGTTTCTCTTTTGCAAATTGGAGATAATTATACCTACCGTATACATTTTTGTGAGGATTAAAATAGCTTAAAATTTGTAAAGCACTTGAAATAGTGCCTTGCAAACGGTTGGTGCAGTGTAAGGGTTTGTTATTATTATTATGTGGACACACATGTAATTATTTAATCCCTGCATCTTTTATAACGTTCATAAATTTTAACCATCTGGTAGCTAAAAATATGGAAACTCAATAAATAGTAGTGTATAAAAATGATGGAATACTTTGGATCTATTAAAACTGATGCTATAGATATTTGTTGATCCAGAATAATAAATATTTTGCCTGAAAATATATATATTTATATACATTTGTTGATATAGAATAAATATTTTTCTAATATATATATATATATATACACATATATATGTATATATATATGTGTATGTATATATATATATATACATATATATATATATATATATATATACCTATGCTTGCAGATGAAAATATCTGGATAAAGATGGGCTAAAATGTTAACAATGGTTTTCTTTATCTGTGTTTCCTAAATAGTCTACATAAGCATGTTACTTTAATAATTAAAACAGTAAACATATTAAATACCTAAATGTCAATAATTCCATAAAACAGCCAGAAGAATCTATATAGGGAAATATTTTTCTGATATTCTGTAGGGAAAAATCTTTTGAGCATAAAAGCATAGGAACTAATCATGAAAATATTGACAACAAAACTTGAAAACTCCTATAAGTCACTAAAAAGAAAATGCAAATAGTAATCTCAGAAAAAAAATTGCAGGACAAATAATAAAGTACTCATATGCTCAATGTATCAAGTGTGCTTAACAACCCAAAAGAAAAAGATTGACACCCAATATAAAAACAGGTCATGGACATCATCCAACCCTTGTCAAACAAAAGATAAAGACAATTTTTAAATAGCCAATGATGTATGTGTACCATTTTTACTAATCCAAGATATGCAAATGAAATAATATGTACATATTTTTGTATTCATCAAATTGACAAATTAATAATAACCCTTTGTGTTACTGAAGTAACAGCAAAAATAAGTGAATAAAAGTGTTTTTATTTTTTTAAAAAGCTCTTTAATACTTTAATACCTTGCTATTCCAAGTCTGGTCCTCGGACCAGCAGCAACAACAGCATCTGGGAATGTGCTAGAAACAGAATCTCAGCCCCTCCCCATACCTACTGAATCAGAAACTGCATTTTACCAAGAGCCCAGGTGATTCACTGTGCACAGTCAGCCATGTTTGAGCAGTGCCTCTTTAATACACTGCTTTGGGGAATAGATTGACACAAATGTTCAGGACAGAAATTTGGCTGTATGTATCAAGAGCTTCTAAAAATATTAGTATGTTTTGGTTCAGGAATTCCATTCTTATGTACTTAGCTCAGGGAGATAATTAGAGAAATGAATAAATATATGTATGTACAAATTTATATTTTTTAATAGCAAAAATTTGGAAGCAACATGTCCAATAGAGGAATATTAACTAGGTGATGAAATGATACACTGCTACTAAAAAATATTGACTATTAAGAGTAATGAAAGGGCCAGCCGAGTGGCGCGATGGTTAAGAACTCGCTTGGGATGCCAGAGGGCCCCGGTTCGGATCCCACATATGAGGGCCAGTGACACTGCCCTCTACAGCTAAGATGCTGAACAACGGCTCAACCTGGAGCTGGGCTGCTGTGAGTCGCTGGCGACGGCGTGGGCTGCAGTCCCTGTGGCAGTGGGTTGCCATGGGCTACCGTGTGTAGCCAGCAGCCAGCGTGAGCGGCCAGCAGCTGCAGTGAGCGGCCGTCCAGAAGCCGGCGACTGATCTGCCTCACCCGGGAAGAGCGCAATGATGGTGCCAACTTGGGCCAGTGAAGCAACATCCTCCACAACTAGACTGAAGAACAAAATGACAGCAACTTGTCTGTCCCCCTTCCCCCAATTCCCCAGCACTGTTCCCATCCCCCCAATTCACCAATAAAAATCTTAAAAAAAAAAAGAGTAATGAAAAATGTTCATGATATATTAAACAAAAAAGCATGCCAGAAAGTTATGCTAACATAGTTATTTTAAAACAATTATTTTAAAACATGTCTATATGCATTTCAAGTCTAGAAATAAATATAATCTATAAAGCCAGCCATCTGTGAGTCAATTGTTTTTTACAATATTTTTTCTATACACTATTATATTTCAATAGCAAATATATATTACTTTACACTCCACTAAAACTTATTTAAAAAGGGTTGCAACACTTAAATTACCACAAGCAATAAATATTCTATCCTCCCCTCCCCTGAGTCTTGCTAGAATTGTTTTATTATTTTCTTTTTTATTTGCTGGTTTGAAAAAGTACAAAATGGCAACTCATTATAGTTTTAATTTTGAATTACTTAAAATTAATGAGGTCTACATTTATTTTTAGAGTCTGTTCTGGCACTGAATAATTTAAAGTACATTATTAAATAGTACAGCTCATATTCTAGAATAAAGGGAATACTTGTGGAGTTCAGTTTACCTTAAATTTCAGAATATTATGTTGTATGGGCTGGCTTGAGACAAAGTTATGTATATACTTCTTTCCTTCATTCATTGGTGTTTTAATCATTGATAACTTTTTAAACCATTTATTATGGAAAATTTCAAACACACACGAAAATAAATAGAAAGTATAATGAATCCCACATACCCATCAACCAGCTTCAATAATTATTACCTCATGCCCAATCTTGTTTCATTTATACTCCAAACCACATCTTCCCCTACATTCCCCAAATTATGTTGCAGCAAATCATATAATTTAAGCTGTAAAATATTTTGGTATCCACCTCTAAAAGAAGATACATACTTAAAAAAAAGCACACAAATACAATACCATTATCACATCTAAAAAACATGAACCATGATTTCTTAATATCCATCAAATATCCTCCCAGTTTTTAAACTTCATATTCACTTTCGTTCTCTCTCTCTGTCTCTCTCTGTCTCTCTCTGTCTCTCTCTCTCTCTCTCTCTCTCTTCTCTCTAGCTCTCTATCTCTATCTCTATCTCTATCTCTGTCTCCTCCCAGTTTGTTAGAAACCAGACACAAAAATAAAAACAACAATCATAGACCGATGTTACCACTTATAAGTTTATCCTTCCCTTGCCTCCTCCTTCCTTCTCTCCCATTCTTTCCATTTTGCTCTCCCTCTATCTCATTCACTCTTCTAGTTTCAACCCTCCCCAAAACAACCCCAAAATTTTGGTTCCTATTCCTGACAACACAGTTAAGCTGAACTAGGTTGGTATATTTCTAACTGATGGAAACTGGCTTGACTTTTTCTCTTGGTTGTGCTGCTGGTACCTGTGACTCAACTTCCCCAGACTGAATGAACTTGCCAACATCCCTTCAAATCAGCTCCTTACTCTAAACTCCCAATTTTTGCCACTGGTGTAACTCTCCCGGGTGCACCCAGTTACAATTTCTCCCTCTTCCCTCTCCCCGCATACCCAGTGGTCAAGTCCAGTTAAGGTTTCTTTCATCTGTCCCTCCTTTTTCATTCTTATCTGAATGACAATAGCAAAGCCTTTGAAATCAGTCCCCCAACTTCAAGCTCTAGTTTTGACGTTTATTACCCAGTTAACTTGCATACCATTTAGGCTCTTTAAGATTTTGATTTTTTAAAATTAATTTTATTAGGGAACAGCCATGGTCATTGGTTACACATTGCTTTCATGGTACAATGGCAGTTGACTCTTTTAAGGAGCGCACAGCTCACAGTGGCCCTATGCGGGGATTGAATCGGCAACCTTGGTGTTGTCAGCATAGCACTCTAACCAACTGAGCTAACCATCACCCCCCAAGATTTTGATTTTTATGTTCACATTTAAAACTTACCTTGCAGGGTGAAAATTAAAGCAAACCTAAGTAGAATGCTTGACTGATAGTTTATACTCAAAAAATGATAGTGGCCACTGTCATCATTGTCATCTCTTAACAGCTATGCTGATTATTATAACTATAACCAGTCAATGATCCTGAGGACAGCACCTTTGGGTGCTCTGATGGCTGGCACATCATGTTGGACTGTTTTCCCTGGGGCCAACGCATCTCCAGTCCTACCTGACCCAGGCTCCTATCCAGAGATAGACTACTTTAAAAACAAATTTTTTTTAATTTTGGTAAAAGACCTATAGCATAAAAATTACCATTTAATCATTTTGAAGTGTACAGTTCAGTGTTAGTACATTCACAATGTTGTGCAAATAAAACCATCATCCGTCTCGAGAACTTTTTCATGATTTCAAACTAAACCTCTGTACCCATTAAACACTAACACCCATTCTCACCTCCCCTCACTCCTGGTAACCACAATTCTACTTTCGGTCACTATGAATTTTACTACTCTAGGTACCTCATATAAGTGGACTCAAGCAATATCTGTCCCTTTGTGTCTGGCTTATTTCACTCCGTGTAATGTTTTCCAGGTAAGAGAGCCTACTTCTGTCTCTATGGATTTATGATCTGGGGAGTGGAGGGGGATGACCCACACTCTGGCATCCTCTTGTAGGTTTATAGATGCCAAACTAAAATCTAAGCACTTGGATTCCAAGTGGAAAGAATAGAGGAACCTTTGATATCAGGACCCAAGATACATTTTATTTACATGTGTTGGCACTTGGCAGCCATAGAGTTTCCTTCAATTTGAAATAATCCCAATCGGACCTTTCCCCAAAGAAGGTAATGGCCAAGGACAGGATGGGAATGAGGAAGGGCCACAGGACTGGCGTAGTGAAGACTATGGAGGCTTTTAGGAATTTAGTTTTTTTTGGGGGAAAGGATAAGATCCTTAGGGGAGGGAGAGTGAAGATAGGGTGGGAACCAAGTAAACTGGTGTAATCATTGAGAATGGAATGAGGCAGTCAAGGGAGCAGGTGTGCTCACACATAGGAGAAGCTGAAGGCACTGCCTTCATCTTTTCCAGCTCTTTTGTAAATACAGTAATGCCTTGGTTTGTGCATAATTCGTTCCGGAAACAAGTAAGCAAGACATCACCCGTTTACCACATTAAAATGGATTAGAAATGTTTCTTGTCTTGAGGAACACTCGCAAACCACATTACTCGCAATCCAAGGTTTTGCTGTACTGGGTGAATGCATATGCCAGTCCCAAGGACTGCTTTGAAACACTATGTTCAACTCAAAGCTCTGTGTCACTTCAGTGAAATGAGGTCCATGTGGTCTGTGACCCAGAGTAAACTGCTAGCACATACATATCAGGTAGCAAGTTGCTGCCACATTTCAGAGCAGAAGTTCTCAGATTGGGGGATTTCATAGAACAGTACATTGTTTTAAATGACATAATTGACATAGGGTTACCAATCTTTTATCTTCTTAAACAAGGACAAATAACCGTATTTGATAAAATCCCTATTTAATAAAAAGAAACAAAACTCTACCAGAAACACTCAATTTTCACCTACTATTGTCTTTATATCCTAATGGAAAGGATCTTTTAGCTTTCAAAACATTGGGAGAAAATAAGTGCTTTCAATAAAGATTAGTCAAATATGTTGAACACACTGATTTATGAAAAACCCTTTACATGGTTCTTATTCTCATTTTATTAGAGATTGGTAAAAGTTCATCATGGAATTCACCACTGGCTTAGAGCATTCTGGAAGCTCACATCAATCTCACAGCTACTCTCTGCTCCAAGCTCTAACATATATCTATGATTCCATTTGATTCCCATGATAATTCATTTATGCAAATGAGGAATTTGAGATGCAGAAAAATTAAGAAATGAGCCCAAGTTTGCATAGCCAGTGAAACAGCTGAGTTGGGAGCCTGTGCTTTTCTGCTCTATGGGGTATTCAACCACAGCAGTTAATGTTCTGTCACCTACTTGAGCCTCTCCCATACTTGTCTCCCTCCCACTGTTCTATACAAGAAATCAGTTGATGAAAATGTTGTTAAATATATACTGGTGCATTTGTTTAAAAAATTAAAAAAGAAAAGAAAGTCATGCCAAATCCTATACCTTCAGATCATCTAGGTTTGATGGGAGTGGGCCTGGTTTGAGAGAAGAGACACCAGTTTGTCCAGAAAAACTGTTTTTGACAGGAGACAAGGGGGTATTGCTCAGTGGTGTTGAAGAAGAGTTTGGATTTCTGACCATCTGTTCGTTTGGTTCCCTGAAAAACAAACCAAAAAGAGGCACTTAAAATATGGTCAAATATATTTATGTGGGTTTGATATTGTGATTTATAATAAGAAATATATATTTGCTCTTCATCCTGGTTTCTAGCTCACAGCTCCTAAAACCCATGGAATTTCCTAAGAGATCAGAGTGACAAAGGCATCTTTTGTTATGAGGTGACTTTTGGACTCCATTTAAGGAGGGGATGATGGTTGCCAGGAGAACCAATCATGTGATTAGAGGGTTGAGATTTTCAGTCCCACCACCTTCCCACCCCCTTGATCTCCAGAGAGTGGAGGACTACAGATTGAGTTCACCAATGGCCAGTGATTTAGTCAATCATTGCTCTGTAATGAAGCTTCCATAAACACCCAAAAGGATGGGATCCAAAAGTTTCCAGTGGATTGGTCAACACATGGAGGTGCTGGGAGAGTAGCCAGCTCGGAGAGGACATGGAAACTCCACACCCTTCCCCCACACCTTGCCCTATGCATCTCTTCCATCTGGCTGTTCCTGAGCTATATCCTTACTTAATAAACCAGTAATCTAGTAAGTAGAATGTTTCTCTGAGTTCTGTGAGCCACTCTAGCAATTCAATCAAACCCAAGGTGGAGGTCATAGAAACCTGTGATCTATATAGTGTTGACCAGAAGCACAGGTGACAAGTTCTGGACTTGCAATCGGCATTTTAATGGGGTGGAGGGGGGCAGTCTTGTGGGACTGAGCCCTTTACCTGTGGACTCTGATGCTATTTCCAGGTAGCTAGTGTCAGAATTGAGTTGAATTGTTGGATGGCCAGCTGATATTGGAGACTTGCTTGGTGATGTGCTGAAAACCTCCCCCACATATTGGAATTGGGTGACCAGAACCCTTAGGGGGTGACTTGTATTTATTTATTTTTTATTTAAAAAA